TGCTTTTCAGAGTAATAGCATAAAGTCAAATCCTTGCAATAAAATTGTAATCTAAAACTGAGTCAAAGAAAGCAATAGAGAAAAATGGTGGTGGAAAATAGAAGTAAAGACAAACAAGGAACAGATGAAAATTTATATAAACCTGATTTCAGAATGTGATAAGAATGACTAATTTTTCTTTCTGTGGGAAAAAGTGAGACTTAAGAAAGCAGCTTACACTGTTTCTTAGAAATTATGTCAAGCTATAATTTGTGTAGCTTTTAAATGAGAGCTGTGTTGTTATACATCCTTGTGTATTATGTGCAATGTATTTGAGGTCGTACAAACCCCAAAGCCTTCTAGGGGAATAATACGTGTGCTTGTAAAACATGGTTGGAAAGAGAGTGCTTCATAAATCGATGCATTGCATCAGATTTGATTCATGAATTTCAGCTTGCACCTGTGCTTTCTTTTTGGCTCCATTTTGTGGTCAGTCAGTTGGTACTACCCAACTTTTCACTTTTAATCCCGCGATTTGCTATTCTTATGGCAGACTTTAATTATAGCACTGGAGTTTATTTTTCATTAATTTTCATTAACTTAGCCAATTGTACGGTTAGGCATCTGCGTTAGATGAAGCAGTGATACAAAGGAAATTGGATCTTTTCATGTGCTTGGAGATTGCAGGCATTTTTCTTTTTGTTTATGCTAGCCCATTTAGGGCCTATGTTAAAAATGTCATTGATTTTCTCTGCTGAAAAATACTTGTTGCCTAATGTGCACTGCACAGGACCTAATGATGAGGATTTTCTCTTTCTAAATGGAAGGAAACCAGTTTTCAGCCATCGTTCTATTAGCAATATGGCTAAAGGACTTTTGTAAGCTATAGGCTATATTTATTCTTGAATTGTTATTTTAGTCCTTTTGAGAACAAAGCCCAAATACGGTACTTCTTTTCTCCATGTTTTGTTGTAATATGTGTTATAAAAACCTAACTTGGTGGTCTATAATGAGGGGGAGTTTCAATGTGCATATAAAATATTTACTATAAATTTTCTATTAAGCCTATTTTCCCCCCAAAGTCTGTAAACACGAAATATATTTCATACAAGTGCTTTAGAAGGAAAAAAAGTGATGAAATTCCATAGACAGAAACTTGAACACTGAAAACTACATCAATTATCAAAGGAAGATAGAGAAACGGATGGTTTGTGTCAAACATCACTATTTTGCTCTTCATTATGTGATGCCAAGGTTTTATTTGAATTGAATATTGATTTGCCTGATTAATCAACTTCACCAAAACAGATCTAGGACCGTTTACACTGTTGACCCACACATGAATCTAGAGTTGTGCCTAGAACACAATAGTCATGATGTGGTGATACCAAATTACACAAAAAGATTTGTAGAATGGCTTTTGGATTGTAATGGATATTAGAAAACAACTACTGCTCTTTTCATTGGGGAATCTTGGGTAATTTCAAGGAATTCCATATTTTTTGGAAAGATTGTTTGAAAAGCATAAGGTAATAGCAAGGAAATTCAGGATTAACATTTCATTATAATTTTTATGGTTGTATCTTTACTATTGTATTTAGTATATGAATTTCCTTTATATATTTCCATATAGTACAGGGGTGTCAAATTGGTGGCCCACGGACCGGAGGCGTCATGGTGAAACCGCGCCCACCCCATTGCCAGCAATGGAAAAAAAGTCACGATGTCGTGACACATCACGTGACGTTGCGAGTTTGACACCCCTGATATAGTATGTCTATTTATCGTCATTATACAAACTGTTGGTATTCAAACAAAATTGTTGGCAGGTTACAATACTTCCATAAAAGTTTTAAAATCAAATAATTAAATCAAGAATGAATAAAATCCAGAATCTCCCCCGTTTCTGGTAACAGCAACGGTCACATTACAATGTTATTTAACATTGTATTGATCCTTTCTTATTTAATCTGTATTATGCAATGGTTCAGAGTTTACAATATTTCTTGATTTTCTTTGTTTATAAAAAAATGTCAGGATTTTATTTTTTTATCTGTTGAAATACAAGATTCTTTCCTGTACTTTATAGCCTTCTTTCCTTCCCTCTTTTGGAGTTAACTTGTACAAGAGTTCTTCAAGGCAATACTAACTCCTGGTGACTTCATGGATAAATTCATGTAGTTTTCTTGGCAACAATACAAAGATTGTTAACCAATGTCATCTTCTGGGATATTTTCTCATTTCCCAGTTAGGTGTTAAAGAACAAGCAAGCTGGCTAGTTGTTGCCTTCTGTTGTAAACTGCAACTCCTCAGTCACAAATATTATAACTGACTGGTTGTAAATACCATGAATCTTTCAGAAAAAGTAGCTCTGGTTACACATGTTCAGTCTATGAAACAGTTCATCATGTCCTATAAATATCAAAGAACACTTTTGATTGTTTGAGGCACCTTCTAAAAAATTACCTGGATAGTTACTAAGGGTTTCCCAATGTTTCTAAGATTCTAGACCTTTCTTGATTTGGGCAAGTAGAAATACCACGTTGCTTCTATATAATAAATGCAGTGCTAGGGATTAATTGGCTTTCCATTATGGAATTGACAGGACTGTGATTGTGACCCTTAACAAAGTATCTCTAGTCTATTACTTTGGGGTTTCTTTCCCTCTTTGGTTGTATGGAGATTGGGGGAGTATTGCTGGGCATTTGTGGTACTCAAGGGCTGCAGAGGTACTATGGGTTTCTTGCACATTATCACTTATTTATTCTGTTTTAGTGAATGGATTTTCCACAACCAGTTGTTTTCTTCCCTTCAAAAACCTCTAGATTCAGATGCGTTTATATACAGTTTGGTTATACATGCATAATCTGATCAAGTTTATAACATGGTCTGATGGAATATATACCATGTTTTTCACAATACATGTATTTATCAACTGAAGTTATTTTGGGGTGTTAGAAAGAACTTTTTTTCTTAGAATTGACAATTTGTGTATATATGTACTTGCTATCTCTGTATCTCTGCAGTAAGAGCTGCTATTATCAAAATCTTTGAAGAATGTGTGCTCTTCTATACATTAAATAAGAAAGCCACTTGACATAATAAACAGTTTAACTGAGCCTTAAATAATGTACAGACAGTTATATACTATGACTACTAAACATAGTCATGGTAATAGAAAAAGAAAAAGCTAAAGGGCTCTGGAACTTTCAAATTCAAACAGACAAGCACCTGCCTCATAACACCCCAGGCTAACCAATTGTCAATAAGAAACATCTGGATAGTGGATGTGGCAATACCTGGAAACAGCAGAATAAAAGAGAAATAACTGGAGAAAATAGCAAATTACAAAGACCTGCAAATAGAAGTAGAACAACTGTGGAAACAGAAGCAAAGATAGCATCAGTAGTAATAGGTGTCTTGAGCACAACGCCGAAACACCTGAAGCACCACTTGAACACCATCGCCATTGACAAAATCACTGTCAATCAACTGCAAAAAGCAGCTTTACTTGTAACAGCTTATATCCTGTGACAGAAGCTTTAAGACCAACAAACAACATCTGCATATCTTAAGAAGGACTTGAAAGATGGATAAAAATGCTAATTCCAGACTAAACATCTGTCTGACTGAAGAATATTCTTAAGAATTATTATAAACATATGGCAAGGCCAAGTAATACATGGCCAGTAGATAAAAAAATAGTAGGCAAAGCAGATAATAAGATCTGGCAATGTCTAAGAGTAGGAAAATTGAAGAAAGACAAATCTGGTTGCACAGGGCCAAGTTTTAAAAACAAATGGATACAGAATAATAATTTAGAAGGCAGCGACAAAGAGCAAATGCTGCCTCTGCAAAGAAGCTGAAGAAACAGTGGGCCACCTTTTTAGTTATTGTAAGAAGATCTCACAGACTGACTACAAACAATGACACAACGCAGGAGCAACAATGATGCATTGGAAGCTCTGTAAGAAATATCATTTACCTTTGTGCAAGAACTGATGGGACCATGAAATTGAGAAAGTCATAAAAATGAAGAAATTAAATTGCTGTGGGATTTTAGAATTCAAACCGACAGGTACTGTACCTGCAACATAACACCCCAGACTTAACAATTGCCGATAACAAAGTAAAAAAAGTCTGGATAGTGGACTTTGCAGTACCTGGGGAAAGCAGAATAGAAGAGAAAGAACTGGAGAAGAAAACAAAAAATACAATAAACTGCAAATAGAAATAGAACGACTATGGCAAAAGAAAGCAAAGGTAGTACCAATAGGAATAGGCAGCTTGGATGCAATCCCAAAACAACTGGAGCACCACTTGAACACCATTGGCGTTGACAGATTCACCATCAGTCAATTGTAAAAGACAACTTTATTCGGAACAGCTTGCATTCTGCAATGATACCTCTAACACCACCAGACATCAACATCTGGCTATCCTAGGTCTTTGGGAAGAACTCAGTAGGTGAATAAAAATGTCAAATCCAGTCTAAACATCTGGTTGATTGTGCAACCAACCATAATAGATTATTAAACTTGTGTGCCCCTCAGCTCTTAACAATTCTGGGTGGCTCACAACAAACACATTACAATAAAATCATTAAAGACAAAATATGACAAGCACAACAATCCAGATGAAATAAACAAAGGATCTTACTTTTCCTTGCCAAAGACCTGGGTCTTCCCAGTCTTCTGAACAACAGCAGAGAGGGGGGCACCTGGATATCAGGGGGAAACCTCATTCCAGAGGGCAAGCAATGCTACAGAGAAGGCTTGCTTCCAAAATTCTGATATACGTCAAGACCCCCAGATTATGCACCAACCTTGTATGGCAAACAGTATTATGATATTTTACAATCAATAGACTTACTGTAGTATAATATCTCATTGCTTTATGCCTGCTGAACTGTCTTTAAAGACTGGTAAAATTAATGAAAATTTTCTGATTTGCTTAGATGTGATATCTCTCTTGCTCTCTCTTTCATATTTTCTAATTGGAATCTTCTCGTCTTATCACAGTGTATAAATCTCCAGAATATGAATCCCTTGGATTTGACTTGACAGTTGAACGGTTAGTTTCAATTGGATATCCTCAAGAGCTGCTTAGTTTTGTCTATGATCCTACATTCCCTACCAGGTAAATAATTGTAATTTAAAGTTGTATTTGTTCTGCACAGTTTAAGTGGTACTTTTAAACTTAAGGTGTTGTAGTTCATATATGGTAAACTGCATATGTATCTTGCAAATTTAAGTTTATTGTCAGATAATGTGTCTTAAAATACAAATAAATAGAAGAGAACTGCAGAGCAAGTAGGCATAAATATTCCTCTAGACTAATGTTTTGCCATTTTATAAATATCAGGTTTAATTCATGAGAACTAAATGACTACTCACAAAATTATTTGGGGATAATATTCATGGGTATTTCCTAAAGTGCTTTCTTGAGTGTATCTGGACTGCCACATTTTGCACATTTCTCTCAGAGCAATTCTTTGTGCTATGTTGCAGACTTCTGAAGTTGTTCTAAACTTGGGGAAGACCTTAGTGGGACTGAAAGGAAATTCCAGAGCATCATGGTTGGCTACATGACAAGGATACTATAGTTCTGTAGTGGTTTCTGGCATTGAGCAGGAGTAGGATTAGATAATCTTGAAAGACCCTTACAATCCTTTATAGTATGTAATTCTGCAAAATGTCCCCTGAATCTTTCTAGCAGCATAGTTAGAACATATAGTGCATTTATTAAAAGTAGATAGTGAGGGAGAATATAAGCCTTTTTATAAAAATGTATATTTTAAAAAGCCTCACATTTCGATACTTTTTATTAGGCTCACTTTTTAAATTTTTAATGATTCATGTAAAGCTTTTGAGATGTTGTTTAATGGGGAAATATTCCCTGGTAAAAAATATAGTAGAAAAGTCCCTAAACATGAGAATCAAGCCTTAATCATGTGAAAGTGAAAAAAAGAAAGACAAATCTATTTGTCCACATTGTTTTTCCCCAGTGAATACTCATATTTTTCTAAGATGTGTCTGAAGGTTGACAGTACAATATGGGCAAAGATTACAATCTTGACTCATGGTAAATCACTTACACCAGTGGCCCCCATCCTTTTGGGCGCCAGGGACCAGTTCCATGGAGGGCAGTTTTTCCATGGATCGGGGTCTGTGTGTTTTCGCACTCCCCAGATCCCACATGTGCATGGATGGGGTTTCGTTCACTTGTGCAGTCCAGTTTCTGGCAGGATTGGGGATCCCTGACTCACACCAGTCCTACACTATTTATATGTCCACTTGCATTTGGTCAAGCCATGTACTTCTGCTGTTGGCATCAGACTAAACAGCCGTGATTCAAATCAGCAGTATGCATTTAGTTTTTAAGCTTATTTCCAAATGTACTTGGATTTCTCCTTACTGATTACAGAATGAAAATTTTAACTGTTGCAATTCATTGTAATTTCTTAGTTTGATTGTTGTGAGCTGCTCAGAGGTGTTGAATGGCAGTATACAATTTTAATAAATTATTATTATTATTATTAGGTCTGATTATTAACTCATTCTCTCAGACCTGGGGACAAACTACACATTGCAGAAAATAAGCTCCGCTCTACTTTCTTGAATCACATTCTCATCTTTCTTTCAGTATTGTTGACTTGACATAAAAATTAAACTCTTTATACCTTGAACATTCTATGCCTATCTTTCTACAGCAACTATTGATGTAGAGCTGGGTCTGAAAAATGCACTATAGGATAATGTCACATCATGGGTAAGGAAAAACCATGACACATTAATGGGAAGGAAAGAAGCCCACAGAGCACAATAAATGAATTGGCAATGAAGCCAGAGAAAAAAGAACAGGCAATCTGAAGTCTTAATTTGCAGCCACACCCAATATAGCAGTTTACATTTTTCAAATATCTAGCCTCTTTTTCAAATATTGTTCAGCCAATTGAGACTACTTCGATAGCAGAATGTAACAGAGAGATAAATGGGAGGGGGCAGATAATTATCAACAGAGGAAGCATTATACATCCTTCAACTGTATACCTCATTAATTGTCTAAATTCAATATTTTGTCTTTCTATGTAAGTAGGACACTGTTGCACTGAAACATACAAAGTTCATAGTTAGGGGTACTTTGACTTTATAACTTGTTCTAATCAAAACCCTTGTGGTAATCTGCTAGCATCTAATATTTCATTGAAGATTTTATATAACACTTAAATGTGTATTGCACCCATATGCACATCATATTTAAGCATGCTTTAAGAAGTTGTAGAAAAACTTCAGTAAATGTTGGCTGACATGGTCACTCCTATTCTTCTGGATGGCCAGACATTAGCATAGGCCATAGGGTGTGGCAAATTTTGTTTAATAGTAGGTATGGTTAGCTTCAAATAAACCAAATTTTAAAGAACTAGTTCTCAAGCTGGCTTGTTAAAACTAATAAAAATGTTAACCACAGTTTTGGGTTAAGACTAGCAAACTGTAGTGAAATTCTGAGAAGTAAATGGTACCAAAATTGTTCTGGCAAAGTACTTTGCTGTTAAGATAAATGAACTAATTATAAGCAAATAGATTAATTGTACATTTAAACCAGGCAATGCAGACTATTTTTTCCTCTGCAGCTAAACAAAAGTTCAATGGGACTCTATCATCAGTGTCCTCCTTAGGGTCAGATTCTAATTTGGACAGAACGTGATAGAACTGGCTCAGGTATGCCATTACAACAGACTATCTTTCAAAGTCTTGCTGTTCATCGTTGCTCATTGTGAAATGCTGACATGCACACTTGCATTTCTTTCTTTTTTTAATAGAGGCCTGGTATTTGATTCTCTTTATGGAAACCTGTTAAAAGTTGATGCCTATGGGAACATCCTAGTGTGTGCACATGGCTTTAACTTTATGAGAGGGTAAGTGATGCAAATATTGGTGATCTCTTAAGATTGTCTGCAGTCCTTATGCACAGCTGGGATATATATTCTGTTGCACGTGGCACAGAGTCTCTTAGTGACTTTCAGGTTTGTTGGCTTCTGTCAGAAATTATCTAACTTTAACATTATCTTATTCTTGTTTTTTTTCCCTATAGATAGATTGGTAAACCAATATAATATTTGGTGATCTTGTAATCAATAAGTATGGTTTCAAAAAATCCAGTTTGTACTTTGTATAAAAAAAGCAGTACACGGATAAAAGATTAGATGTCACCTTCAAGAAATCATATCATCTATTCAGGGTTCAGTGTTTTCTTGGAAATTTTAAGAGATAACTTGGCTTTCTCATAGATCTTGTTGACTCTTAATTGAACCTTATAATATGCAATAGAGGAAATTGCTTTGATTTGACAACATTAACTACCATATTCTTTTGTCCTTTATATTCCTCAGGCCAGAAATACGAGAACAGTATCCTAATAAATTCATTCAGAGAGATGATACTGACAGGTTTTACATTTTAAACACACTGTTCAACTTACCAGGTGAGACTTGAAAGGGGGAATTACATAGTCCAGATCAGTAGGTACATTGCTATTAATTTTAAAGGAACACTTTTATGAATGTCTTCTGGGTTTAGCTTAATTACATGTATGTCTATTTGACTAATCGTTCATTTTAAGATTTGGTCTTGCCTTGGTTTTGCTTTCTTGCAGAGACATATCTGTTGGCTTGTCTGATTGATTTCTTTACTAACTGTGACAGATATGCAAGGTGAGTATTGTCTTGGCTCTATGAAATCAACGAGACCATGTTGTAGCCAGCTTTTCCAATGCAAATGTATAAAAATACAGCATACTGAAGTTATTTCAGAGTAAATGAAAATATTTAAAGGATCGTTTAAACAAAATATTGTGATTTAACTTTCAGTAAGATAACAGGGTTTCCTCATTCACTGCACAAAATAATTCACTTTGAATTGGTGAAGATAGTAATTGAATAGGTGGATAATGCATAATATCTATTCATATGTAAACAAAAACCTAGGGGGAAGAGATGGGAAACTGTGCTTTCAGTTTGTACCTAAGGACACAGATGTCATTTTTAATTACATAACATTTTTCAAGCCTCATGCAATTTTCTACATGGCTGTTTTATTCCATTTGTCTCTCAGCTGTGAAACAGGATTTAAAGAGGGAGATCTTTTCATGTCCTTCAGGAGTATGTTCCAGGATGTGAGAGATGCTGTGGACTGGGTTCATTATAAGGTAACCTGCATCTTGGGGACATTTAGATTATCTCTTTAATTCAAACACTGTTTCTAAGTTTTGAATTATGGTATCATTTCAATAATTTTAATTCCCCCCCCCCGATGAATAAATACTAAACACTAGTAGTATTCCAGCAAGATAATTGGACAACATGTGATATAGAATGAATTACTTTTTACTCTTCCTCCATTCTCCTCTTAATTTAGTCTTTCTGTTTCTTCCTTGTCTCATGAGATTAGCAGCTGTAACTCATCATAGAAACAGCCGCTAGTCCTCTTGCACTCTTTATATTCATTTTCTCTCTACCCTATTCTGCAGTTTATATATAGTTCCTTAGTGGCCTGTCATCCAAAGCTGAGGATAGCTCCACCCTGTAGCTTTAAACTATCATTTGACTTCAGACTATTTAGTTTTAGAACAGAAGTTATTATGTTCCATCATTTGAATGGCACTTTGACTCATATTTCATTCTTCTGTCATAAATGACCCTTAGAGTGGTACAATGAAATCATCAGGACTAATCTCTTGACATATGAAACTCTGCAAAGAACTTTCTGTCTTTAGTGTTACTTGAACATCTTTCTACAACATGATGCCAGCACGGAAGATTGTACTAATATGAAACCCAAGATACCTATTAGATCTTTGCTTCTGCTGCCGTAAGATTTTTTTCCCCTGTTGTTCCAGGGCACACTTAAGGAGAAGACAGTTGAGAATCTATACAAGTATGTGGTGAAAGATGTAAGTATTCAAAAACTTGTTTTAAGAAAAGATGGTGATTTATTTTGCTAATTCTTAATTGGTCTTACTACTCAGTCACTTAAAATAATGGATGGAAAACAGGAAGTCCACCAAACCAGAATAATTTTATCTGGAAACTTCTGATGACATAATTGCTCTAATAAATGTTGTCTTTATTGATGGAGATAGTGTAATACTTCCTTTATCTCTTATTAAATGGAATTAATATTAATTAACTGGACGCATTCATTTCTTATCTTTCAAAGATGGACATGTGATGCAAGGTAATAATTGTGGCTCTCACCATTATTTACTCTGGGCAAAAATTCAAATTAAGCTCCAACATGTAAAATGACAGATGATTCATCAGCAAAGCAGTACTGGTCAAAACTGGCTGAACTGGGATTAAAAAGAATTTTAAACAACATTAGCAAACTGGTTTTCTATTCTGACATTGTCTGATGAAGTGGACATGGAAGAAAAACAAGTCTTTGAAACTCTCTACACACATGCCAAAAAGCATGTGCCTGACTATTTGACACCAAACACAAGTATGGAACTTGGATGAATGCCTAGAATTGGTAGATCAACATAGGTCAAGTTGGCAGACAATACATGATACAGGCGGCTCAGATCTGAAGTTTGCCATCAGCTAAAGGCAGAGCAAGAGGCTGGAGCACCCTCGCTCTGGAACTGGAAGAAGCAGCACACAAACACAAGCACCACACACTCTTTGCCGTTCTCAGACCACTAAGTGAAAAGACAGATTCACGTAACTCAGAGAAGTTCCCATTAAATGAAAATTAGTGATAATAATCCCTTTTTGAAATCATCCAACCACAATTCTAGAAATAGCAGGAACAACTAGAGAAGAGCACACTGATGCTGGGATCAGATTTCACCATCAGACAACTGTTGGAAGGAAAAATTCACTGTGGCCTATGAATGCCCATTGTATTCATTGATTTTCAAGCAGCCTTCAACAGTGTGTACTAATCAGTTTTATGGATAGCACTGAAAACTGAACACATACTCCCCCAAAGGGAAATGCTTACCACAGGTAACTTATAGCAAACGCACTGGCTGTGTGCACATCCAAAATGGATCTTTCAGAATTCCCAATTTGAATTAGTATTAAAAAAATGTATGATGTAGTACAGGTAGTCTTCAACTTATGACTATAATGGAGCCTGCCCATCACGATCATAAAAATGGGTCAGTCGCCTTTTTTGTGGCAGTCATTTAAGTGATTACGGTGGTTGTAAAATAGCTGCCGTGATTGCTAAATGAATACTGCAATCATTAATTGAACCAGTGCTTCACTATGGATGCGGCGTTGTCAAAAATTGGAAGTAAATGCTGTTTTGGGGGGGTGAGAAACACCATAAAACACAGTCATGTGACTGCAGGTGCTTGAAATTTGATCATGTGAAAATGGGATGAGTGACTGTTGGAACTTCAAATCTAGATCATAAATAGTGCCCCCTCCTGGTAGGCCAGTTATTTCTTAGGGTCACTAAGCGATGGTTGTGAGTCAAGGATTACCTGTATGAAGAAACCCATTACCTAAATATTGATGTATTGATGACAGTGCCATAATTGCAGAGGCCATAGACATTTTGTATAACTTCATAAAAACTGCCAATTGATATGGCCTGAAAAGCAAGGCTGACAAAAGAAAGGTTTTGACAACTGATAAGCCACAGTCTTCTGTCCATCTCAATGGAGTCCAAATGGAGCAAGTTAACCATTTACGATGGAAAAGAGAGAATAGTATCAAAAGCAGCAGAGTAGGATTGGCCAGGCCACTGCTCTGTTTGGATTGTTAAATTGTTGTTGTTATACAGATCTGATACTTAGGCTCCATAATAAGCACGTCTAAACAAACTTGATGTTTACATGATTTTCTCAAGAATGAAACATCATTTCTAACCTACAATTGAGAACGAAATACAAACATGCATTGGGAAGGTATGCAGAATAGTAGACTATGCCTTCCTTACAGACAATAGTAGAGAAAGTGACCTGCATGGTGGAATAGCACCAGAAAAAATATGGGTGAAGTGACAATCTGAAAAGCCTAATTTTCAACCAAAACAGCTATAAGAGATGGCCATAGCCCAGTAGCATCCATACCAATGCACTGGCTCCAAGGTTAGCCCTGCCCAGACATTTACTAAGGGGAAAAAGAAGAAGAAATGGAACTTAAATTAATTCTATTGTTAAAGAAACTTTGTTCTTTCCTGCTACCAAAAATGTCAGGAAAGTAGCAAGAGAGACATCACAACGAAGACGCAGGAAACTTTCCAAGATATCAGCCCAGCCTTAGGTGTCGAATTCAGTGGTGGCAGTAGCATTTGGGGCTCAGGATCTGGCCTGACATCCTCCACTCTCTGACATCCTCCACTCTCTGAATTTGATAATTCCACAAAGGTGGGTCCGTTCTTTTGGGCTTCTCTTCATCAAAAGGGAGATATTCAGTGCATCCCCATTCATGACACTGACTCTTGTTTCTTCCTATAAAATCTATTTAGCAGCTGTTTCCATAATATATTGAAATGCCATTTTTTTCACATATTATTAAATGATTTATGAGAAGTTGCTCCATTCTACAAAATCCAACTTTAACTGTAACTATCCTCTTGTCCGGAATTTAACATGAGTAAGGATGCACTAACCAAAGCTGCCCTTTATGCTGTCATATTGAATCAACTATATTATATGCTCAGAACGTGGCATGAGATTCAGTACCGCATAGTTAAGATGTGTAACATTTTAGAAGATATTTTAAGCAGATTGAAATATGTATTTGGCATTATTCAGAACAGAAGGGTGCATGGTGCTATTTCAGCTAGGTCATGTGAAGTACCCCAAAATAAATTTTAACTTAAATGTTTGAGAATTAGTTTTATGTCAGTGTTTGTCATTTTAGGGAAAGCTTCCACTGCTGCTGAGTCGCATGAATGAGGTGGGAAAGGTGTTTCTTGTCACAAACAGCGATTATAAATATACTGATGTAAGTAAAATTTTATGAAGTGTTCCAGTAAGTTATGTATCTTTCATTTGATAATAAAGGAGATTTTAAACACAGACAAAAAATCAAATTCAAATTATGAATTTGAAATCTTGGACTCTTCTCCAGGTTTGATTACTGATCTAAAACTTAGTGTGCATATAAATACTTTCTAAAAGTTTCTCTAATATATTTAGTACAAAATGCAAGGATTCTTTTCTATTAAATTCAGTAACATTTAACATGTCATGGTGAGACATGTTCAAATGGTCAATTTTCTTCTGGGAATTATATTTCAGCTTTGCCCAAGAAATCTTTTAAGTTTGAATGCAATATCCACTCTCATCCACTGAGACTGAATATTTATACTTCAGTCCAAAGAACATATGTTAGAGACCAATTGTATCTGAATTTAATTCCATGTTAAATGAGTATCAGGTTTTCAAAGTCAAGAGAGATGTGGAATTTTTCAGTTCTGGGGTTCTCTTGGCAAATAGATAAATAATAATAATAAAGTTGGAAGGGATCTTGGAGGTTATCGAGTCCAACCCCCTGCTCAGACAGGAAACCCTACACCATTTCGGACAAATGGCTGTCCAGTCTCTTCTTAAAAACTTCCAGTGTTGGAGCATTCACTGCTTCTGGAGGCAGGTTGTTCCACTGGTTAATTGTTCTAACTGTCAGGAAGTTTCTCCTTAGTTCTAAGTTGCTTCTCTCCTTGATTAGTTTCCATCCGTTGCTTCTTGTCCTGCCTTCAGGCGTTTTGGAGAATAGCTTGACTCCCTCTTCTTTGTGGCAACCCCTGAGATATTAGAACACTGCTATCATGTCCCCCCTCGTCCTTCTCTTCATTAAACTAGACATACCCAATTCCAGCAGCCTTTCCTTATATGCTTTGGCCTCCAGTCCCCTACTCATCTTTGTTGCTCTTCTCTGTACTCTTTCTAGAGTCTCAGCATCTTTTTTACATCGTGGTGACCAAAACTGGATGCAGTATTCCAAGTGTGGCCTTACCAAGACATTGTAAAGTGGTATTAATACTTCACGTGATCTTTATTCTATCCCTCTGTTAATGCAGCCCAGCACTGTGTTGGCTTTTTTGGCAGCTGCAGCACAGTGCTGGCTCATATTTAAATGATTGTCCACTAGGACTCCAAGATCCCTCTCACAGTTACTACTATTAACCAAGGTACCCCCTATACTATACCTGTACATTTGGTTTTTCTTGCCTAAATGTAGAACCTTACTTTTTTCACCATTGAATTTCATTTTGTTAGATAGCGCCCAGTGTTCAAGTCTGTCCAGGTCCTCCTGTATCTTAAGCCTGTCTTCTGGAGTGTTGACTATTCCTGCCAGCTTGGTGTCATTGGCAAATTTGATGAGTTCCCCATCTACCCCCTCGTCCAAATCATTGATGAAGATGTTGGAGCACTGAGCCTAGAACAGAGCCCTGGGGCACCCCACTATATACTTCTCTCCATGTAGATGCAGTTCCATTGAGGACCACATGCTGAGTACGGCCGGTCAGCCAACTACGAATCCATCTGGTGGTGATGCTGTCTAACCCACATTTTTCTATCTTATTGAGTAGTAGGTTGTGATGTACTTTATCAAATGCCTTACAGAAGTCCAAGTAAATTATATCCACAGCATTCCTCTGATCCACTAATTTTGTCACTTGGTCAAAGAATGCAATAAGGTTTGTCTGGCATGATCTGTTTTTGACAAACTCATGTTGGCTTTTAGTAGTGATTTTGTTTGCCCCTAGGTGTTTGCTGATTCGTTGTTTGATTATCTTTTCCAGAATCTTCCCAGGTATTGAGGTCAGGCTGATAGGTCTGTAATTTCCTGGATCCATTTTTTCCCCCTTTTTTGAAGATGGGAACTATATCAGCTCTTTTCCAGTCCTCTGGTAGTTCCCCAGTGTTCCAGGATCTTTGAAAAATATAGTTCAGTGGTTCTGAGATCACATCTGCCAGTTCCTTGAGAACCGCGGGGTGTAATCCATCTGGTCCTGGCGATTTGAACTCATCTAGGCTGGACAGGTGCTCACTTACCATTTTCTTGCCTATCTTAACTTGTGTTTCTATTCTGTTTTTTATGGCACTATTTTTGATAGGCTGGTCTGTTTTTTCCCTTTGTGTAAAGACAGATGCAAAAAACGAGTTAAATAATTCTTTGATTACAGGTAAAGTTGCTTTCTGGCATCCATAGTGGTTTAACTTGCTGTACTTGTTCAGAAGATGAGAAAATACAGTGCTGTGCTTTTTGTACCCTACCTTTTTCTGTACTTCCATTTCTTTGCTTTGGTTTATCAGCATAGGGAACTTCTTCTATTTTTCCATTATGCCCTATGGCCAGGTAGGCGATATTTTAGTTCCCTCTAGTGTCCAGTTTTTAAAATTTTATCTTACTTATGTAAGATAAGACAACTTACATATTTGAAGCTAGTTATAATTTTTTTGCTGAAACTGACCTGATTTAAGTGTTGCTTCAGTCAAAAATGATTGAATGGGAAATATTCTCTCTAATTTCAGTACTTAAACTATGTGTTACATTTTGTTTCTTATCTATCTTTCAGAAAATTATGACATATCTGTTTGATTTTCCACATGGACCAAAGGTAGGTGCAAAGAGATACGTTATTCTATTGTTGACAGTATTTATTATCTATTTCTGAATAATTCAGGAATAGAATTCAGTTTTGGTACTGGAAATATATGGCAGCTATTTATTAAATTCAGATTGAAAAAGCATTGTGTTAGTTGCCCTAGATTTGTTGTTATGGGTCAGGCGGAAAATAAGTCTGATGCATTTTCATATGCCAAATAAGGCAGTTTTTTTGAAGTTAAATAATAGTAACTGCTGCTGAATTATTTAGTTGTGTTTTAATCAGTAGCACTTCCTCTTAATGTTAGTTATATACTTATTTGCATTTCTATTGTACAAACAGCTTAGATAAAAGGAGTAATTGCATATTTTGGATTAACAGATACACAATTAATAGTGCCAATTATATGTTGAATATATAAGATATGAGAGCCTTAGGCAAAGAACACTTGTACTTAGGATTTATATTTCTGATGTTATCATGTATCTGAATTAACTAATCACTGGAAAACATAGGAAACATGAATTCTCTAGATGATCTTTTCTTAGTATGTTGTCAAGCACCGTAATTAAACAATGATAATAGTTGCAGTATCAGACTAGATGTAGTACAGAGTACAGTTAGTGGTGTCTGCTGCAGAACTAGCATTAGCAAATACCTATATGAATTATTAATATTTGTTTACTTGAACTTTAAATAAGATATGCTTTTGATTGATTTTTTTTAATGTAGCCAGGTAGCTCTCATCGACTGTGGCAGTCTTATTTTGATCTCATCCTTGTGGATGCACGCAAGCCTCTTTTTTTTGGAGAAGGCACAGTCCTGAGGCAGGTGGACACAGTAAGTCTACATGGAATACATGGTTAAGACTCATCTGGAAGAGGAGACAATATTCCTATTTTGCTAAGTAGAATACGGGTGTGGATCTCTTAGTATAATCTCTCCCCTTTTAAAAATAATTGCATATTTGCCCTTAACTGTATTTATGACATCCAGTTTTGGGTTAGTGATTAAGGCTTCAGGCTAAAAACGAGGACATCATGAGTTCTAGTCCTGCCTTATCATGAAACCTGCTGGATGACCTTGGGCCAGTCATGTTTTCTCAGCCCACGGAAACAGACAATGGCAAGTCACTATTGAAATCTTGCCAGAAAAATGCAGGGATTAGTTGAGGCATCACCAGGAGTCAAAAGTGACTCAATAATGTTTTTTTAAAAAAAACAAAACAAAACCCACAACTGTATTTATAACAAATTTGGGGTCAGTTGGTTTGACTAAGAAAACACAGCATACTTTTCAAATAGATTTTTAAGTATTCTTCTAGGCTGTGCTTTCTTTCTGCTATTACAGTTTAGGAATCCTTATTTTATTGAAATCAGTTCCACTGCAATTGCAACTACCTCATTTGTCACAATACATGTCAAAGCCAAATCTGTGCAGGAGGTAATTTGGTGTAGGAGGAATAGGTTGTGATCACCATTTGTACTATACCATTTGTATAGGTTTGTGCCATTCTCGCTAGTGTTTTCCTGGAGTCATTGTTAGTTTATGGAATACTTGCCGTTGCAGAGGTGATTTAATTGTTTTTAAATAAGGCTGAGGCAAGAGTAGGAGATAGTCAAAGAGTGCTGATAATATATAGGTAAATTTCACAGTTGTAATTTTGCACTGCTCTTTGTGAAGATCTTCTCACTTTCTGCTTTGAGCCATTACATCATAGTGCCTACTATCATTTGCACTAAGCAAAGTATGCTAAATTTCATCTCCAGTTGGCAAGAGTTCCACTAGATGGCAGCAAAGAGATAGTATATCTAAAACCCTTAACACTGAAGTCATCTAATGCAGGGCTTTTCAACCAGTGGTACGGGTACCATCTGTGGTACATTGGCACCTGGCATCCTAGAAAAGTGGTAGCGGGGGAGGAGAATGAGCTGAACCGGTGGCAGCACCGCAGAAGCCTGAGTGAGAGATGGCTGGAGCTGCAGGGCTGTCAGGGCTCAGCGGAAGCGCCAGGATCAGTGCCGCTTTCCAGCTGATCAGCGCTTCTTCGGGGCTGTGAGGGCTCAGTGGAAGCACCTGGATCAGCGCCAGGCTCCAGTTGGAGCTCAGCGCTGATCCTGGCGCTTCTGCTGAGCCCAGAAGAAGCGCCAATCAGCTGGAATGTTGCAGCATCTCCAGGGTATTGTGATTTACATTCAGATGTTTGGCAATTGATTCATATTTATGACGTCACAGTGTCCCAGGGTCATGTGAAGTGACCAAAAACTGCTGCAACCACCCATCAGACAGGGGGAATAAAAACCACACACACCCCACCCCACCCCTGCTGCCAATCCTCAACAGAAATGCTCACAACAGTGAAAACCTCAGACAGGAGGAAGAGTGTGGCCGGGCGGGCAGGCAGGTGTCTTGCTCGGCTGTGGCTCGGGGGGCACTTTTTTCAGTGCCATTGTAACTTTGAACAGTCACTAAGCGAACTGTTGTAAATCGAGGACTACATGTACTTTATCACTTTATCACTTTTTCCTTTTTTTTTTTTTGGTCATCAAGTTTCTGACACCTTGCTAGGCGACTGGTGGTACTCGGATATTGCCATATCCTAAAAGTGGTACAATGGGTGAAAAGGCTGAAAAGCCCTGATCTAATGGGTGTGTTTTTGCAGTTAAGGCATGATAGTCTTAGAAGAAACGAGCACCATGTACCATATATGATAGACGTAACAAGTCCATTTTCCATTGAGCTCTGACTTATCTTTCCCTCACCCCTCCAAGTGGAAAATGGATGTTGTTCATGAAAACAACTTTCTTCTTTACAGGTTACTGGCAAGTTGAAAATTGGAACTTACACAGGTCCTTTGCAGCATGGCATTGTCTACTCTGGAGGTAAAATAGACACGAAACTGTTTATTTTATTAAGCACAGAAAGAGGGATTTTGCTTTTAGTCAGCTTCACTTAGCAGGGGTAGTCAACCTTGGCTCTTTTATGACTCGTGGACTTCAATTCCCAGAATTCCTGAGCCAGCTGGGAGTTGAAGTCCACGAGTCATAAAAGAGCCAAGGTTGACTACCCCTGACTTAGAGTTTGAAACTGGGTCTTATCTTCTATAGAGAAAGAGTATTCTCTGTTGATGGAAGCAGAGGTTTACCCAGCATAGGCTGCTGGCCATAGCTGTTTCCCCAATTCATGTTATGTTGTCTTTATGGTAGGGACAGATAAACCATGGCTTTTCAGATATAGCAGGAATATAGCTGCCAGCTTCCCTAATCTGTGCTGTATGTGGACAAGAAGAGGCAGCAGCTTGTATCCATCCCCCTACTCGTGTGTATCCCTTTTGATGTCTTCTGTTAAGGAATGCATCAGAGAGACACCCCCCCCAAGGAGCAGCCATTCCAAAAGAGATTTCTTTTTGTATTTTTCAGTTTTTGTATATTCTGGAGTAAAATACATGCGTCGTGCATTGCACCCAGCCTGTGCATTAAGTGCTTTTCTATATTTTAAAAGTGTGTGTGTGTGTGTGTGTGTGTGTGTGTGTGTGTGTGTGTTGAGGGAGAGAGAGAGAGAGAAGAAGAGGGCCCAATCACCTTGAACTTGCCACTTGGAACAACTGGACCGGAAAATAAAAATGTTCCAATCAGCAAAGCAGAGCAGGCAAGAGTTACATATAAATGTGCCTGACTTCTTCCAGTCATAACTATTTTAAGGAACAGTGCATGAAAAGCAAGACGTTTTCCACATGACATCTTAGGTTTTTGTGAAGGGCAAAAAAACATTATTGCTACTAAGACTATCCTTCTCCTCAGGCTCCTCTGATACAATATGCGATCTTCTGGGAGCCAAAGGCAAAGACATCTTATATATAGGTGACCATATATTTGGAGACATTTTGAAGTCCAAAAAACGCCAAGGTTGGAGAACTTTTTTAGTGATCCCAGAACTGGCACAAGAACTTCATGTCTGGACAGACAAAAGCTGTGAGTGTTTAACATTCTAACCTCAGATTTAACTTGGTATAGAAAAAAATGAAAAAGTACTTATTTATTTATTTATTTATTTATTTATTTATTTATTTATGATTTAAATTTATATACCGCCCTATCTCCCTTACGGGACTCAGGGCGGTGAACAGGCAATAATAAAAATCACAATAAATATTGAATAAAAAGCCTGCTCTAAAATACCCCATATAAAACCCCTAGCAAAGCCCAATCAAAACTACGCCAGGCCGGCCGCATGGAATAGATCAATAGACTTGCCTTATTGATTATTTGCATTCTACTTATTTGGGTGTATCCATACACTAGGAAAGAGGAACGTCTTCAGATCATTCTGAAATGTGATACTGACGCCTTGTGGAAACTAATTCATTTCCTAATATGTTTTGGATTGAGATTTGGGAGAATTTATTTCCTTTGATAAAAATGTCACTAATGCTGCTGACGTTTCCTGTTTTTATTTATTCAAAACATACCCTGCTTTTCCATTAAAATGTACAAGGTGGCTTTTAGCAACAATTTAAATAAAAAATATGCACTATAAAGACATTTTTTTTACATTGGAACGATAAAAACATGAACATAATAAAACAAGGAGAAGTCCAAAAATAGGAGCTATAATTCTGAGAGGTACCCAATTATCTTAGATATCTTCACTTGGTAAACATTGAAAAAACATTAAAAAGACTGATTGCAAGCAGATTATTTTTAGCCTTGTAATTGTTCCCACCATTTACAGACTAGAAATGAAGAATAAAAACTGTTATGCATACTCACCTGTATCTTTTTTTAAAATGGAAGCATCTTTTGTGACACTTGCAGGAAGTTTTCAAGTAGGATTTCATATTGCCATTATAAAGCAAGCAAGCAAGAATCTATACCTCCTAGCATTTCTAGTTCTTTTAGTGAAAATAATGCTGCCTGATAAATAGGCCTATTTGCTTCATTGACTTCCAGTTGGAAATGACCTTTACTTTCTCCCTCACTTAGGCCTTTTTGAAGAACTTCAGAGTCTAGACGTCTTTTTGGCTGAACTATACAAGTAAGAAAAAATTCTTATCCACACAGCATAAGCCATATATTGCATCTTTTCAGAATGCCATTATAGCCTCTCCATAATGCATTATAGCCTCACCATTTTACAGTGGCTGCATCATTTCAGTGGATTTAACATAAAATCTGAAAATGGAGCTATGTGTGAGTCCTAGTCACCTTCCTAAATAAGTCTTTGTTTTGTCCATGTTAGTTTTTAAAACATTCTCTCACGTGCTTCTTTACTTTTTAAAATGTCAACAGGCATTTGGATAGTAGCAGCAATGAACGTCCCGATATCAGTTCCATCCAGAGGCGTATTAAGGTAATGCTCACCATTTGGTCTTGGTGGCTTTCTTTTTGCCCCCTTATTAAACCCTCCCTTTTCCAGTTCTTCAGCACGATGCTAGAATGAAGTATTCTGCAATAGCCCTAATAAATGGCTGTTCTACAGGATGTAGGCCATGAAATGAATGAAAAAAGGCATTAAGAGGAAACTGGAAGGTCGTGGCTGCATTTACACATTGATTTTGGCTTTGTATGATATATAATCTCATGCAAGACTCTGTACTTCACACACATCCCATTATGTGTAAACCAGTCTTAGTGAAGAATAATTGTAGAAAAACTACAAGAACTAAAAACAGGCAAATGTATGTTATATTGGTAAAATTATGGTTTGTGCATCAGAGAAAAAGTAAGACTGAACAAGGGGATGATGGCTAAAGAAAAGTAGAAGGCAACAGCAAGAATATTTGTAAACTATGTGGGAAGATTAAAAGTTTCTAGGCCATAAACATTCTTTGTGTATGCTCTAGAGTTTAGTACTTCCCATCCCATTTTATTTCTTCTTCTAAAAATGCCTCCATTATTCTCAAGCTATATAAACATAAGGCTCCTAATGGTCTGCTACTACAAGGAACAATTTATTTATAAATATTTCCTAAAACATTCATTATCTATAAAAGCGTTTGATTTCTAACTGAATGAGAGGATTCAAAAGAACAAAGCCTTATTTGTAACCCAATAGGAACAGTTTTGTTCTATACTTCCAAAGACATCCTTTTTAATAAATGGAATTATTGTCCCCTGAAGTAAATGGGGAACCCTTATATAGGAATTAGAGCTATCACTCCTACCGGTAGAAAGACTTCCTGATCATGGCAAATGCTTACTAACTTCATTCTCCGATTTTAGAAAGTGACTCATGACATGGATATGTGCTATGGAATGATGGGAAGTTTGTTCCGAAGTGGTTCCCGACAAACGCTGTTTGCTAGTCAAGTGATGCGGTATGCAGATCTCTATGCTGCATCTTTCATCAACCTCTTATATTATCCTTTCAGTTATCTCTTCAGAGCCGCCCACGTGCTGGTAAGTTGAAACACAGATTTTCATTCATTCAGGTAGACAGAATGATCCAGGCATTTTTCGGCATCTTCAAGGTATATAGAGTAAGGCGTTCTCAACAGAAAAGAGATGTAGCTAATGTATCAGATAGGATGACATTGGCATTGCATTCAGCAAAAGAAAAATGAGGCTAATCAGTTACTACATGATAAAGGTAGACCAACAAGACCTCTTTTCTGAAATAACTTTCGTTTCTGAATTCTGGTGAGATACAGGTGAAACTCGAAAAATTAGAATATCGTGCAAAAGTTCATTTATTTCAGTAATGCAACTTAAAAGGTGAACCTAATATATGAGATAGACTCATTACATGCAAAGCAAGGTAGTTCAAGCCGTGATGTGTCATAACTGTGATGATTATGGCTTACAG